TTCTATTGGTGACCGTGCTTTAAATGAAGAGAGTGTTTTTCTTTCCAACGTTCAAATCACTTTACTGCATCTCTCAACTTTCTACCCTAATTAATGATGAATGAAAAATATCTTGATTAAGCAAGGTCTAACAACAAATAATAAATTATATTTTTATATTATGCCCTTTTTTTTTTCCCCCTGCCAGGTTGCTCGTGACCGGCTTAAACGAAGAGTGCTTTTTCCCTGAAGCTCAACGGCTAAAAGCCTGAAATATTAATCGCTCATCCACATCATCTCTCCTCAAGATTTTTTCTACGGGAACCTAAATATTGGGTTTTTTCTTCTCCCCAAACCTCCGATTCCGATCTAAATCCCACTCTTGATGTGCGAGTGTTTGTTCTCTCCGTACGGGAGAGTTCTCCGCCACCCTTTGGAGTGGTTTCTTTTTCATCTAGGGCTTAATGGCGGCAAAGGATTTAAGCGGTTCCTCTCTCCGATGGCCACTATGCGAAACAGGGTGAATGGTTGGCGGAGGAGACGAGGGAAATCGAAGGGGGTCTCGACTGAATGAGAGCCAAAAGGGTGCGGCGCTGCTGATGGGCGATGATTGGAAGCTGGCTCTGATTCATGCGAAGGGAGGAGATGGTAAGATTCCCTGTTTCAAGCTGCCTTATTCTCATTTTCTCATTACCATTGGATATGAAATTAATTGTACTCTAACATGTGCATACGCATATCAGCAAATCGTAGGAACAAATTGATGTTTTTTTTTTGTGCGTGCAAGCTTATGGTACAATTAGCTCTTAGAGATGTCGTTTCAGATAATTGTTTCGCGAGAGCTTGATCTACCTGTTTATGATACGTTTACGGATTGATGCGAGCTGTCTTGGTTGCTTGGTGGGGATTTAGGATAGTAATTTGGTAGTCGCGTTTTATTTCTTAATGCTTTTAAATCTTCCATTTTTCTTTTTGGGGTTGCGTTGATTCTATTCGCCTGCTTAATGATCTATTATGGATCTGTATGACCTATTGTTATTGTTATTTTCGTTGTACTTGTGTTATCCATTCTCACAATCTGTGTTAGTCTGCAGAAAATTTCAGATTTTTCTCTTTGCCTCGATTTGATTTATAAGTTTTTATAATTTTAGTTTTTGTGTATGGAAAGTTATCTGAGTAGTTATAATTTTCTAATTTTGAGGATTATTTAATCCATAAAAAGGGTGGCACTCAATAGACTGGTTGTGAGACTCTTGAAGACATTGTGACGATGTTACATGAATCTTAATAATCCACGGTTTAGTATTCCAATTTTTCGAGCCAAAGAGACCACACTAATTCATTTCCAATTTTAAAAATTGGATGGTTGGTTTTTGTCTTATCACTTATGTAAATTTGGGTCTGGTTTTAATTCTACTGATTGGGAACGAGTTTTTCAGTCTGAAGCATCCATAATTTAATGAATGTTTTGTAATTTGCATTCACAATTCTTTATTTTTGTACGGGTGAAATTCAATATATATTTATGTTTCTTGATTTGAAATTTGTCATATTGTGCTTTCCTTTCCTTATTCGATAATATCTTTTCCTTACTCAAACATGCAGATACTGGAAGGACTTCTTAAATTACCAGAAAATAGGGAGTGTGCTGATCGCAAAACTAAGTATGTATCTGGTCACATCTAAATTATTGATCTGGATCCCTTGAGATTAAAAAACCAAGTGAAATTATACTTATTGATCCATAAAAGAGGACAGTCATGTATTGTACATGTTCTTGTTACTTTCTGTTGATTCAACAATTTGACTGTGTGTTCTATAATCGTGCTCTGCAGAGGACCGAAATGGGCTAGTGTGAACTTAGGCATCTCATGCATGCAGTGATCAGGAATACATCGAAGTCTAGGAGTACGTATATCAAAGGTGATGCATTGTCCTTTGAATAGTGATTTAATTTAGGATTTGATGAAACCACTATGGTGCACAGGCACTATATATAACTTGTTGCTTTCTTTCTCTTATTTTCTTGTGCTTTTTATTGTTTTTTTTTTTTACATTTTAAATCCTTTTTAAATGTAAGCACATATTTTTAATCTTTTCACCTTCTTTGATTTATCGATATTTTTTGTTTAAACTTGAAATTTTTACTTAGCTAAAATATGTCTTCAAAAAGTGCTGAATGCTTTATATTTTTGTTGATATCTTTCTCCATGTTTGAATAAAACTCATCTCTTATTTTCTTTAAAAAAATATATTTTTGAAGTAGGACTTAATGAAATCACCATGCGCACACACTATATATGACTCATTGCACTCTCTCTCTCTCTCTCTCTCTCTCTCTCTCGTTGTTGTTTTTATTTGATTTTTTCTTACATTTTAAAGCTTTTTTAATTTCAAGCTCATATTTTTAATCTTTGCACTTCCTATTATTTGTCTTCAAAAAGTGTTTAACGCTTTATGTTTTTCTTGATATCTCAATTTTTAAATAAAAGTCATCTTTTATTTTCTTTAACAAATATATTTTCCTTGTGAGACTTGATGAAGTCACCATGCATACACAGCACATCTAACTCATTCCATTCTTTCTTTGGTTTTTTTTGGTGCTTTTGTTCTTTTTTTTTCATATTTTCAAGCGCATGTTTTTAATCTTTGCATTTTCTACTATTTTTCAATATTTTTTGTTGAAACATGGTTTTTTATTTAGCTTCAGCATGATTTGAAAAAGTGTTTCATGCATTATATTTTTAATGATATCTTTCTCAATTTTAAATTATTTTCTTTTAAAAAATATGTTTTTGATGTGGGACTTGATGAAACCACCATACACACACCCCATATCTAACTCATTGCATTCTTTCTCTCTTGTCCTCATGCTTTTTGTTGATTTTTTTACATTATAAAGTTTTTAAATACCACTATTTATATTTTTTATAAACATGATTTTTTTATTGATCTCAAACATATCTTGAAAATGCATTATATTTTTTGTGAGATCTTTCTCAATTTTTAAGCAAAAGTCATCTTTTATTTTCTTTAGAAAATATATTTTTGGTGTGGCACTTGATGAAACCACCATTATCACACCCCATTAACTCATTGCATTCTTTCTTTTTTTTTCCCTTGTGCTTTTCATTTTTTAATATTTAAAGCTTTTTTAAATTTTAATTTTTTTAAATATAAGCATATTTTTTAATCTTTGCACTTTCTGTTATTTATCTATATTTTTTTGTGTGGAAACATGCTTTTTTTATTTAACTTAAACATGTCTTGAAAATGTGTTTGCTGTGTTATATTTTTCATTGTATCTTTCTCAATTTTTAAATAAAAGTCATCTTTTATTTTTTTTAAAAAAAATTTAGAGGTGGGATTAGATGAAACCACCTTGCACACACTTCATTTCTAACTCATTGCATTATTTCTCTTTTTTCCATGTGCATTTTGTTGTTTTTTTTTACATTTTAATGCTTTTTTAAATTTGAAGCTTTTTTAAACATAAGTACATCTTTTTAATCTTTTCACTTCCTATTATTTATTTATAATGTTTTATTTAGATTAAACATGTCTTGAAAAAGTATTTAATGCATTACATTTTTCATGATATCATTTTTAATTTTTAAACAAGTCATCTTTTATTTTGTTTAAAAAATATATTTTTGACATGGGACAAAATGAAACCATCCTGCATTCTCACCATAGCTAACTCATTGTATTCTTTCACTCTTTGTTCCTCATGCTTTTTGTTGATTTTATTATATTTTAAAGCTTTTTTAAATACAAGTACATCTTTTTAATTCTTACACTTTCTATTATTTATCTATGTTTTTGGTGGAAACATGATTTTTTATTTAGATTAAACATGTCTTCAAAAAGTGTTTAATGCATTAAATTTTTCATGATATCTTTCTCAATTTTTAAACTAAAGTCATCTTTTCCTTTCTTTAAAAAATATTTTTTTGATGTGGGACTAGATGACTCCCATTCGCAAACCTTATTTTTAACTCATTGCATTCTTTCTGTCTCTCTCTTTTTTTCATGCTTTTTATTGATTTATTTACTTTTTGATGCTTTTTTTAAAATTTTAAAGATTTTTTAAAATATAAGCACATCTTTTTAATCATTTGACTTCCTAATATTTATCTATAAGTTTTTATTGAAACATGATTTTTTTTTATTTTAGCTTAAACATGCCTTGAAAAAATGTTTAATGCATTATATTTTTGGGGATTTTTTTTTCAATTTTTAAACAAAATTCAACTTTTTTTAAAAAAATATATTTTTTATGTGGGATTAGATGAAACCACCAAGCGCGCAAACAATATCTCACTCGTTTCACTTTCTTTTTTTCCTTGTGCTTTTTGTTGATTTTTTTGCATTGTAAATATTTTTTAAAAATAAACACATCTTTTTAGTCTTTCCACTTTTTATTATTTATCTATATTTTTTTTGGAAGCATGATTTTTTATTTAGCTTAAGCATGTCTTGAAAAGGTGTTTAATGCATTATATTCTTCACGATATCTTTCTCAGTTTGTAAACAAAAGTCATCTTTTATTTTCTTAAAAAATATATTTTTGTTGTGTTACTAGATGAAACCACCGTGCACACACTCCGTTTATAACTCATTGCATTAGTTTTTTTCTGGCTCGTGCTTTTTGTTGTTTTTTCAAATTTTAAAGCTTTTTTTTGAATATAAGCACATCTTTTTAATCTTTTTACTTTTTATTATTTATCTATATTTTTTTGTGAAAACATGAATTTTTATTTAGCTTAAACTTGTCTTGAAAAAGTGTTTAGTGTATTAAATTTTTCACGATACCTTTCTCAATTTTCAAGCCAGAATCGTCATTTATTTTCTTTTAAAAAATGTACTTTTGATGTGGGACTAGATGGAACCATCATGCAAAAACCTCATTTCTCACACGTTGCATCCTTTCTCTCTCTCTCTCTCCTCGTGCTTTTTGTTTGTTTTATTTACTTTTTAATGCTTTTTTAAATTTTGAAGCTTTTTTCAAATATAATCACATCTTTTTAACCATTTCACTTCCTATTATTTATCTATAATTTTTTTATTGAAACATGATTTTTTTTTCATTTAGCTTAAGCATGTCCGGCAAATATTTTTAATGCATTATATTTTTTCATGATCTATCTTTCTCAATTTTTTTAAAAGATATCTTTTATTTTCTTTAAAAAATATATTTTTGCTGTGGGACTAGATGAAACCACCTTGGGCAAACCTCACTTTTAACTCCTTGCATTATTTCTCTCTTTTTGTCGTGCTGTCAAGTTTTTTTTTGACATTTTAATGCTTTTTAAAATTTTAAACCTTTTTTTAAATATGAACATCTTTTTAATTTTTTCACTTTCTATTATTTATCTATAATTTTTTTATTGAAATTTTATTTTTTATTTAGCTTAAACATGCCTTAAATTTTTTTTAATGCATTATATTTTTCATAATATCATTTTCAATTTTTAAACAGCTCATCTTTTATTTTCTTTAAAAAATATATTTTTGAAATGGGACTAGATGAAACCACCATGCACAGTCTCAATGTCTATCTCATTGCATTCTTTCCCTCTTTTTTCCTCCGGCTTTTTGTTGATTTTGTTACATTTTTAAGCTTTCTTAAATATTAGCACATATTTTTAATCTTTGTATTTCTATTATTTTTCTTTTTTTTTGTGAAAACATGATTTTTTTACATAGTCGAAACATGTCTTGAAAATTTGTTTAGTTTATGATTTCTTTCTCAATTTTTAAACAAAGTCATCTTTTACTTTCTTTACAAAATATTTTTTTGACGTGGGACTAGATGAAACTATCATGCGCAAACCTAAATGTACTTAGCTGAAACTTGTCTTGAAAATTTGTTTATTTCATGATTTCTTTCTCAATTTTTAAACAAAGTCATCTTTTACTTTCTTTACAAAATATTTTTTTGACGTGGAACTAGATGAAACTATCGTGCGCAAACCTCATTTCTAACTCATGGCATTTTTTTCTCTTTTTTCTTACATGCTTTTTGTTTATTTATTTACTTTTTAATGCTTTTTTTAATTTTTGAAGCTTTTTTAAAATGTAACTACATCTTTTTAATCATTTCACTTCCTAATATTTATCTATAATTTTTTATTGAAACATGAATTTTTTTTATTTAACGTCTTGAAAAGGTGTTTAATGCATTATATTTTTCATAATATCTTTTTCAATTTTTAAACAAAGTCATCTTAGTTTTTCTTTAAAAATAGTTTTTTGACGGGGTATTAGATGGATCCACTATACAGTCACCATATCTAAATCGTTGCATTCCTTTTCGTTTCTTCCTCGTGCTTTTTGTTTATTTTTTTACATTGTAAAGCTTTTTTAAAAATAATAACATATTTTTCATCTTTCCACTTCCTATTATTTGTCTATATTTTTTGTTAAAACATAATTTTTTTATTTAGCTTAAACATGTCTTGAAAAAGTGTTTAGTGCATTAAGTTTTTCACGATATCTTTGTCATTTTTTTAAATAAAAATTATCTTTTATTTTCTTTAAAACACATTTTTTGGACGTGGAACTTAGATGAACCACCATGCAAAAACCTCATTTCTAACTCATTGCATTCTTCTTTATTTTTTGCTCATGCTTTTTGTTGTTTTTTCACATTTTGAAGCTTTTTAAAATAAGCACATCTTTTTAATCTTTATATTTACTATTATTTATCTATACATCTTTTTGTTAAAACATAATTTTTTTATTTAACTTAAACATGTCTTGAAAAAGTGTTTAGTGCATTAAGTTTTTCACGATCTCTTTTTCAATTTTTAAACAAAAGTCATCTTTTTTTTTTTAAAACACATTTCTTTTTGGACGTGGAACTAGATGAAACCACCATGCAAAAACCTCATAACACATTGAATTCTTTCTCGGTTTTT